CTGTATAGAGGAGACCTTTGCCCAGCTGTGGGACATGTATAGGCTGATACTTTACTTTTTACTTTTTAGTTAGTACGCTAAATAAGCACTGACCTAGCCAAAGAGACTGATATAGGCCATTAGCATTTTCCGTGCCACGTAAAGTGAAAATCGAAGTGGGAAATACGCACAGGATATTACTTTAGTAAAGAAGGAAGCGCATCGTCGATAATAAACGACGTTAGTTGGCGGTTGGAGTAATTCAGGAAGCGGAATGCACGCCCGGTCGAGACACACGGAAAATTTAGACGTATAAAAGTCAAATGAAGCCAGTTTCGGATGAATTACGTTCGGGGAGCATTCGAGTGTGAAGCGAAGAATGATATTGTATGCATTTTGCATGAGAGCAATATTATCGGATAGGGCGCGGTATTTGAACATTCCGTTTGTGGGAGTACCACGGACCTTCGCTTAGTATGATTCGATAAACTAGTAAAAAAATACTCAACTTATGTTCAACAGTGGACATATTGCGGCTGATGGTGACGATGATTGAGAAGAAATGTTACCTTTTTATTATTTTTTCCTTTCTTGGCGTTAAAAACATCTTTTTTATAAAATAAAATCTATTTGCACCGTTTTCTACGGAACAAATATATCTAACTTTCTATCACAAACAGCAAGGGATAAGCCTTGAACGCCACTTGAGGTGATGTATTAAAAGTGGTGAACAAATGTGAGTACTTTAGTACAAAAAATTGTAATGATAATCACATAATAAAATAAAAGAAGCTACGATACGATAATGATGTTTATCTAAGAAACGGAAAAAAATAATTTAGATAACGTGATTTTCTCAACTGTAGTTACACGAAAAGAGAACACAAGTAAGCTCGCAGCAATGTACAAGTACGGGCAAATGACAATATGTGAAGCAATATGTCATCCATGGGGTCGTACCGCTGCGACCTCAAAGGCATTCTTCACTATTATTCGTTCCATAATATTCGCTAAAGTGATTCAATTTGCCTTTATGTTTCAATTCATACATAGTACAAGTCGCTCCTATACATGATTACACATCTTCTTGTTATACAAAATAAACTGATAAGTGTTTGAACAGACACAGATCTACGCGTATAACGTCCATTCCCATATTCTTAAGTTATTTTTTCATCTTTATTTTTATTTTACTTTGACGACCGTTAGCTCCCTGCGAGGCATAATATTATATAACCACCCAATAATTGAAATGTTTTCATCAAATAAAGGATATTCAGGTGTAGAAAATCATACGGTGGTAGGGCCACGCAGCAGCCTCGGCTGTTGCACGAATGGGCAGGCTCGTCAGAGTACGTAACACGACTTCACAGAAGACCGGCGTAAAGTGGAAGTATAATACATTCATAATACATTATAATACAATAATACGTCTGGTGAGTGAAGTAGCCGGAGCCCAATTTCCAAAAAGGTTGTCAACGCATCTGCAAACCCTCGGGCGTAGCAGATGTCCATGGGCGGCGGTATTCACTTAACATCATGTGAATCGTCTGCTCGTTTGGCAACTTTACACATAAAAAAAATACGGGTGATAGGGCGACACAACAGTGTTCGCTGTTGCACGAATGGGCAGGGCCGTCCGGGTTAGTACCACGACCTCACAGAAGACCGGCGTAAAGTGGAAGTATAATACATTCATAATACATTATAATACAATAATACGTCTGGTGAGTGAAGTAGCCGGAGCCCAATTTCCAAAAAGGTTGTCAACGCATCTGCAAACCCTCGGGCGTAGCAGATGTCCATGGGCGGCGGTATTCACTTAACATCATGTGAATCGTCTGCTCGTTTGGCAACTTTACACATAAAAAAAAATACGGGTGATAGGGCGACACAACAGTGTTCGCTGTTGCACGAATGGGCAGGGCCGTCCGGGTTAGTACCACGACCTCACAGAAGACTGGCGTAAAGTAGAAATGTTACACTTCTGCGGTTCGTCTGGTGAGTGACGTAGCCGGTTCCACTTTATTAAAAGGTGGCAACGCATCTCCGTGGGCGGCGTTTATCACTTAACATCAGGTGAACCGCCAGCTCGTTTGCCACTTTCTCACATAAAAAAAAAAAAATTTTTCTTCATTCATTACACATTTCTTGTTAAACTTAATTCTAATATACTACAATTATCGATAACAAATTACCAAGTACTATGTGCTTTAATCGACTAAAATAATATCAGTATCTTCTCACAATCATCATCAGTTATTGGAGTATACAAGCTTCCAAATATAAACAAGTTTTGATGACTCCGTGGCGCATTTGCCAAGTTATTCGTTTCGGCGTCTGGCGTCGTGAGTTCGATTCCCACACGGGACAACGCGTGACCCACAGATAGTTAGTTTTGTATCATAGATTAATATTCTAGACTAATATAGATCCGCGTGAAATTTATGTTTTAAAAAGGTTACATACAACACGGGACAATGTTCCTAAAGTAAGGGCAATGTTTTTACAAAAAAATAAAAGTTTTCTTTTCAGAGATGACGAATTGAACTTTAATCTACTTTTAGCTATATCTATCTACAAGTCCGGGATAAAAGACACAAAATGTATTTATTGAGTTTTTATTATTAGCCGATTTGTTGTTTATTCACTTAAACAACAAATACAATACAATTTACGGTGGTAGAGCCACGCAGCAGCCTCGGCTGTTGCACGAATGGGCAGGCTCGTCCGGGTAAGTACCACGACCTCACAGAAGACCGGCGTAAAGTGGAAGTATAACAAATACTTTCGCGTTTCGTCTGGTGAGTGAGGTAGCCGGAGCCCAATTTCCAAAAAGGTTGTCAACGCATCTGCAAATCCTCGGGTGTAGCAGATGTCTATGGGCGGCGGTATTCACTTAACATCAGGTGGACCGTCTGCTCGTTTGGCAACTTCTCACATAAAAAAAAAAAAAATACAACGGCATTTTTGTTCTTTCCCAATTAGAAAGAACCCTCGGGGCATTTATTAGCAAAGCTTTCGCAGTCGGATTAATTAGTATCTAAAATTGAGAGATAGCATTTCGATGGTTGTGTTTCGTTTTTTTAACAGTGATTTTTCTAGAACTGGTCCTTTTTGTTATTTGCTTTCTTTTAAGAAGCTTTTACGTCTTGTAATCCTTACAGTAAACTGTATCACCCAGTTTGTATAGTCCCATAACAAACAATTATTTGGAATCTATCTCGGACAGAAAAAAGTTTAAAAAGTGACTAAGTGACTCTTTCGTTCAAGAAAATATTGAAAATGGTACACTAATTGATGAATGTACATGGTATACAATTGGGATCTAGAACAAACACCACAAATCACAAACCACAATACCCTCAAACTTTTATTATTTGACATTTTCATAAGCGATGCATGTGTATTCTTATAGGACAAATTTCACGTAGTACATGCTAGACGAACTTATTGTATTAATAGCTGTGCCCGGGACTTCGTCCACTAATTTCTCTTCCTTCCTTCTTCTTTATTTTAAATCCTTCTAGGATTTAAAATAAATCTTATTATATCAGCTATCTGCCAGTGAAAGTCCTGTCAAAATTGGTCCCGCCGTATCAGAGATTAACCGGAACAAACAGACAAAATTTGTAAAAAAAATATTTTGGTATATGTACGGTGTACACATCCATACACATTTATTAAAAAGCTGTTGTTATTTTAATATTACAAACAGACACTCCATTTTCATTTATCTGTATATCTGTATGTCTGTCATGTATATTTCAAAGTCGCCAGTCAGTAGTGTTGGCAACATTTAATTTGAGGTGCCATCTGTGGATGACAGCAAAGAAACTGACAACCATGAAGGCAGTTTCACATTGCTGAGGTTCCTGTAGTGGGGATACCTGAGGCTTTATAACTGCGAAGCACAAGCGGAGCCAGCACTTAGCTTTCGAATATGGGATAGTTTACTATCGTCATACACCCTGTGATTTATTGTTAACCAATTGTTTGTCTCGAATATATATTTAGTAAAAATATAAGTTTATAATTTAACAGTAGTGGTTAACTAATACTGTTCAAAACCCACTTTTTGGTTGTTATAAAATCAAAATCTGGTAAGTTTACTATCATTTTCGCATCTATAAAGTCTTAAAAGTGATATAGAACAGAAATTGCGATGAGAGCGAATTCTATCCACAGTGTGCTTGTTTTAAAACACTAACACCAAAGCTTTAATTCGTCGGAGACATTAAAGTTGGACGCGGTACGGTCCGCTTCGTAGAAAACTTCGGTTCGTCAATATTTGAACATTGCTAACGATCATAAGATGCAATGGATGGGCCTTGAAACTTTAAGGGAACTAAAACGGAAATAGTCGAGGCAACTTCTTCACTAAGTTAAGTAGGTGGGTCTGGTAATAGCTTATGACTTTTTACGGCTATGACTTTTTTTCTATTTATACTTTTAATTAAGCAGCCTGAAAAACGCAATTTGACTTTTGGTCAGCAAATTGATCTCTGTCAGAGACTTGGTAGGCAATGTAATATTAAACAAAAAGTGCGTTCAAAAGCGAGTCAATCACAGTCCGTTACCAGTTTTTGAAGGTTCAATTTACCTTGGTATTGATTTAAGGTTTTTTGCTATATAACGTCGAAAATATGTGTTATTTACGTGTATAATTATGTAAAAAATTACAGTCACTTTGTTAAATTTTACCCATGTTAATCAACAGTGAACTTTCTGACCTTAATGCCTTAGAAAATTTTGTGTTTAAATATAATTTGTTTTGGGTTTAGAATTGTTTAATATTGAGGCGATATTTTCAAATACTAACGTAAAAGAATAAACTAGATGCTATAATATCTATTTCAATAAATTTACAAAAGTTATGTGCTGAATTTGACTAGTAACAATATTATTTTATCGTGAATAGCCTTCAGTCCTGTTGATGACTTAGTCTGTACAGTTACGGCGTAGATCAATCGATAACAAAACTGACGGCCGCGGAATCGGTCCCAGCAAAAGCGACATCAAAGCCGCCGACCACCGACCGCGGCGACCTCCATTTCCCAAGCCCTCCCCCGGAATATCTCATTAAGGGGATACAGCGTCCGCAGCAAAGTTAGATTGCCACGCACCGTTCTGATTACTGCCAGTTTCTGATAGGCAATTTCCTCCTCTTTGTGCGTCGCTTCCTGTTGCCCCTGCGCGGAATTTCGGTTAGACTTTGAAGTCGTTCGAGACTTTTTGCTTTTCGACTTGCTATCTTTGCACGAGTTATTTGCAAAACGGCATATCAAACTGTATGCCACTAATCCCCCAGAGCTAGACTGTGGTGATTAGGTTACATATTGTTATACCCCGAAGGAATTGTGTTTATTTCATTTATAAATAAATAAAAATTGGAACGGGAATCATTAAGTGAAACTAATTTTACACACTTTTCGGTACAGAATTCCATACAAAATTCACTTCCACGTGATTCAGTTTATACTAATAGTTACATCCATAACATTAAATGTGTATCCATAAATGAATATCTTAGGACACCTTTTTACACAACGTTCTCTAGTCCCAAACTAAACAACGCGCAGCGCTTGTATTATGGGTACAAGATCACTGATAAACATACTTTTATTTTGTAAAGAGTACAAAAAAAAATACAAATTATACATATATAAATACTCAGACACTAGAAAAACACTAACTTCAACATGCAATATTTTATCAGTAGTGAGGATCGACATCCCACTAGATGGAGTGACGAATGTGCGGGAAGTCGATGGATGCGGGTGGCTCAGGACCGTGCTTCGTGGGAGTCTGTGGGGGAGGCCTATGTTCAACAGTAGACCCTAACAGGCTGAAAAGACGATGATGATGATGAGTGGGGATTGAACCCATTATATTACATAATTGACTAAGGCTTTACATAAATGCTTACGCATTGAAATAGTCTGCTGTTATGAGTCCATCCCCTCTCTCTACTCTCTACTCCCTACTCCCCAGAAAAGAATTCGTGGACAAGTGAAATTAAAAACTTTTTTTTTCCAATATTCACCGTCAAATTAAGTCGCACCATAGAATTTGTGTGATTATCAGAAGAAAATATCAAAGAGCAATTTCAATTTAATATCGGGAGGAAATATTAAAATGGGGAAAAAGCTTTATAGTTGGTGGGCGAAAAGGCATTTTTTAATTTTTAATTTCATCCCAGGCGCACTGGGAAGGCTTCGCGCCATTAATTCTCCGTCGTATAATATTTCGTGGCATCACGGTACAAAGCCTTTGACAGGTTTTATGGTATTGTTGCGGAGGTACAAGGGGTAGTAATTTGATGGGTTGTGTAAAAACAGGGCTCCGTGGAAGTTTTACCTACCGTCGGGGGTTGAGAGTGATCATTTATTACGTCAAGATGACACTCTATTACCCCCGCCCCGGGGCAAAGTCCCGTTTGGACCGGAAACGTTTGTTACGTTTTTTTAGCTGTATCCGACTGTTCTGATTTTATGAAGAGATCGCTATTTATTCCAATTTTGTGCGTCTTCTTCAAAGGTGATGGTCTTAAATATCTGAGACCTGCGTGAACAGGAGATTATTGATATATATAAGATTTATAATTGTTTTAAGTTAAAGAATATAATTTATTGCACACAAGGAAAATACAGGAAACATAGTGTACATGTAGGCGGTACTTATTGCTAAGGTATTTCTTAATATACGCAATTTCTTCCAGGCAACCTTAAATTATGTTAAATTTACAGATCCATGAAAAATATGTCGTTTTTAAAAATATCGGCTGCTCTCAAAGCTATATGATGGTATGATTAGAGTTTCAATTATAGAATTCAATAAAAATAACAACAAATATTAAGTGTAATAAGAAAATGAATGATTATAATTGGGCAAAAATTCAAAGTACATAATCAAATATTGAGTCCAGGGCGGTGCTCAGCTATTTTTAACAGCAGACTACTGCATGATCAGCATGAATACTGTTAAAAATACTAAGGTTTTACTAAAGTTTGATTTTACTGTTATTATCACGTTGGTAGGGCCACGCAACAGTGCTCGCTGTTGCACGGCAGGTCCGTCCGGGTTAGTACCACGGCCTCAAAGAAGACCGGCGTGAAGTAGAAGTGTTGCACTTCTGTATTTCCTCTGGTGAGTGAGGTAGCCGGGCCCACTTTACTAAGAATTGGCCACGTACCTGCAACCCTACGGGAGTTGCAAATGTCCACGGCAGGCGGTTATCACTTAACATTCCGTAAACCGCCAGCTCGTTTGCCACTTTCTCATATAAAAAAGCATTCGATTCTAAAAAAAAATTGTTTGAAATAAGCTACGGTTCTAACGATTAATGCATAGACCTTAAGGAATTTATTAGAGACAATTGATTCCAAGATTTAAAGATAATATTAGATAACATTATTGAATTATAATTTTTCTATAGAATTGTCTAACCGCTAATTATTACTTAATATTTATTTACGGACGTCCTACGGCTGATATGATGATGATGATGATGATTTATTTAAAATCCATCCCGTATTAATAATACAATATTAAGGTGTTTACTGAACAACGACATAAGGTACAGGTAAAAACCAGTTTAGGCGATTATATTGAAGCGTGGGCGGTTCTATAACGAGTACAAACTGATGAATTACGTGTATAAAAGTTAAACGAACATATTTTTAGGAATCGTCATCTTTTGTATGCCTTATAAATGCCACCTGATAATCCAAAGTAGAAAAATGGTCGATATTTTTTTCTAAATTCATCTTAGGTGCAAAGATTTATTATAACTGAGATTTGGACTTAAGATAATAATGCTTTTGTGAAATTTAGAATGACCTTCAAAGAACTATTGTATTATTTCTCCCCGCACATTTTAATTTAATTAAGAAAGAAACTGTATGGAGACTAAATTACAATATGTCGCATTTGTATTTTGACATTTTTTTTATTTCTATCAAAATAAATTTTACGCATTTTTATTTCTATCAAAATAAAAATATCCAACGTCATACGTAATTCGGGACAAAGGGTGCTGTATTGAAGCTGCTCATTAGTGCCCTCTACCGTCAATACGCGTCCTATTGCTAACAAGCATTGTGAGATCGCTTACACGGATTCGATACAAGGGTTCGCGATTTTTTGGTTATTATAACGTTGTAAAACCTTGAATATAAAAGAATTCTCGTGATATTTTTACGTCTCCATCATATTTTTCTGAGAAGTCATAATTTCATAATGGTAAATTTATTCCTTTTGCCAGTTTATCATCTTCCCAGGAATAGGTTAATGATAACAGAGTGTCCATCAATATTCAACATTTAACAAAAGTTTTTAATTGAGGAAATATAATAACAATCTATATATCTTCTTAAATTTATAAATAAAATTACAGAACTCTGCCGTGATGTGTGCCTCTCAGAAAAACTACTGTAGAGATTTCAATTAATTATAGTTAGTTTTATTTCTTCGGCCTTTATTTCAACAATTATTGTGATATCTTAATTCAATGCAAAGTTATTAAAGTTTTAAGAAACAACAGGGCTATGTGTTGTCTTGCCGTGGAGAATAGGAATTCTAAATATGGTTCTTAATATTTAGGTGATAGGAATATTTTTGTCACTTTGATGTTTATTTTCGCAGTCCAGAGATTGCGTAAGGTTTCATCGCGAGCGTAGATGATTCACTTTGATGTTGCAATAGGTCACGTTCAATTTTCTGTTTCTTCGAATTAAGAATTTTTAAAAAGCTTAAAAGATGCTTTTTTTTTTCGCCATTTATAGAAAATGCTAGTCATTTATTAAAATTTTATTATTTCATATAAGATAATTTGATAATTTCACACATTTATAAAAACTTAGCAATAATTAAAAGGTTAAAACAAAAAAAAACAACATCTAATGCATGAGACGGGGTTTTCATAAGTTTTCATTTCAAACTTATCTAAGAATTAAACAAAAGTTTCTTTACACCGTAATAAGTTAATTTTGAATAACGACCTGATTTTTTTATGGGAGAAGGTGTCAAACGAGCTAGGGGTTCACCTGATGTTAAGTGATAACCACCGCCCCTTGTCATTTGTAAAACCCATAAGGTTGCAAATAAGTTGCAATCACATAGCAAAACATTAGACTGGAATAAGATTTAGGGGTAGACTACAGTCTATCTATACTAATATTATAAATGCGAAAGTAACTCCGTCTGTCTCGCTTTCACGCCAAAACTACTGAACAGATTTAAATGAAATTTGCTACACAGATAGTCTAGAGCCTGAGAAAAGACATAGGCTATTTTTTAATTGTATTTTTTAAAAGAAAGATATTTATTTAAGGGTTACAACGCGAGCGAAGCCGCGGGCGAAAAGCTAGTTTCTATACAAATGCATAAATAACAATCCAACATTCATTAGTGTTGGATTGACAGGGAGCACACCCTATGGGAATAATTAATGAGACCTAGATATGATTAAGCCGCCACAATACTCTGTCATCAACGCGCACACGTACATATATACATACATACACATATAGTGATATTGTATTTAGATATCCTATGACGTAATGCGATTACTGCACGACCGCAATTTGACGCTAATATGGACGGTATTGTTGTCTACGTATACGCTTTATGGTAAATATATCTGTGTTCATCTGGAATCAATTTTGACAGCATTTTATTTTTTTTTAATAACGTAGCTTTATCGCTAACACCATCGTAATGAAATCCTTTAACTTAATCGCACTGTGAGTTTTGAGTTTTACTGCTGTTTAAAGTGTGTAGAATCAAACTTAGATATTTCATTTTACTTTAATTTTATTTTACAGGGGTTTAGAAAACCGAAATAAAAATTGGATTCATTTTCTTCTTTTTAGAAAAGCCCTTGTTTGGACAGAGTATTGAAAAACTCACGTGATCCCATTGGATTGTATGATTGATTTTTTATAGGTATCCAGTTATCTTCGCGGTTCTTTATTTCATCTTAGATAACGTGATAAATTAACACTTAATTGGGAATGAACTTGGAATGTCCCAACAATCATCTATATACCTCGGTTCTTTTAATATAAATGTATAAATTAAATCGCGATTAATTTGTCTTGAAACAGAACAGTATTAATTTTTATTATAGAAAGAAATCAAACGAACAATTCAACGGTTATAACTCTACATTTGTGAAGGAAATCAACTAAACTACCTCCTTAAGGATTTACGCTGGACGCCTGAAATAAATTCGGCAACACCATTTGGAGTTGGAACGTTTCTATAGACCTATCTATCGGCTTGGCTGTAGACCAGACATAATCCGAATTAGTGAGGGCGGCCGAGCGTGAAGTACAATATGAATGACCTTTGTCAATAGCACTGACGCTTCGGTCGGAGGGAGCCCGAATAATTTAACCCGTTTCCAATTTATACACTGCGATCTGGAGACCGCCATTGGTTTTAATCTTAGCTCAATAAAAAGGATCACCTGCCAGTATTTCGTTTAATGTTTGCTCCACTGACATCGTAATTAAATCTGATATTATTTAACTGCAATTTCCAATTTCGTGACTTCAAACAAAATTGCAATTTTTGATCGTCTATTCTATTTCAAGGAATTGATAAGTGTACACTGTTACATATAGATATTTCCAACGCCTATTACATGGCAATGTTTCCAATCACATCGCGATTAATTCCTGCTAATTATTCATTATTTCTTCATACGAAAGTTGTCCTTAATACGTCTGTAAATGGATAAATGAACCTTCTTAAATATACCTACTATTTTCAAATAATTAATACTAGCTGGCAGAGTATTTAGTTCATAGTTTTATATAGTTTTAAATAGTTTTGATAGTCCATATGGTGCATAGCAGTCTGCTTAATCCAAATATAGCATATTTTTCAATTTATAATCTGTAATCAATGATATCACAAAAGTAACTTTTGCCGTTAGGCATGTAACATGTAAAATTTAATAACATTTAAGTATAAAATTGATTTTGAAGATCGTATCGCTGTCGTTACGTTGGGTAATAAAGGTTGTAGATTGCCGCTCCGAACGGATTCTCGACTGTCTTTTGTCCGTACATTCAAATCCGATGTTAATTAAAACGAATATTGTTGTATAGGTATCGCGACTTCGCTACAGAGGTTGCTTTGGGACTTACGTTTTCAAGATAGTCCCCCTATTGACACGATTCAAAGTAAATACGACACTCAAAGGATTTTCAGTGAAGTTACTTGGACCGTAGAAATGAAATATCTTGAGACAAGCTTCGAGGTATTATTATTAAGAACCGTACACAACGGCAAATGGCTCTCAAAGAGGTTCACGAATTTGTTTCAGTTCAAATCGGTTAAATGATCTGAGCTATCTTCCGCAATAACATTATTCAATGAAAGACTTGATTTAAATCATTTAAAAACCCTCAGTACCATAACTCAAAGTAAACAAAACAATTTTAAAGGGAGCAAATGGCGGTTGATGTCGCAATCCTAAACGCCCGTAGGAAAAATAAAAATTATTCCTGGATGCAGTGCTTGCGATATTCTGGTTTCATAATAAAAACTGCAACCCTCATAGCTTCTTCCAACAAATTGCTTGCATGTGATCTCTTCGGTTGGCCTGAAATACAAGCGTAAGCGATTTTAGTAATTTTACGTTGACGTATTAAATTAAAAGAACATTTATATTAAGTAATTCAAGTAATTGACTAGTAATTCGCAAGTACTTTACCTTTTATAAATATCATTTCTTCTAGCGTGATTTGAGTTTCATCAAACATAAAATCGTTCCACGCGGCCACTGTTTAAATCGAAATGAGAAATTAAATATAGATAATTGACCACGTGATGCGTATGAAAGTTAAACTCGACAACTAGGATAACTAAAGAAAATTTTACTTCACTTCACTAATAAGAAATAGAGAAAAATGCGTCAAAGAGACGAGGGTTAAGGTTTTTTTTCTTCGCGCATTAATAATTATAAAATTTGAATTAGGCTATCAGGTTTACAACATGTAAACCAGGTTTGTTTTATTTATACTTTATTGCAATTACCTTAATCAAGGATTACAAATGGCGAACTTAATACCTTTAGGCATTCTCTCCCAGTCAATATGTTCATACTGGTCCCTGTGTAAGTTTCCTTTATCGCTAACCGTCCTAGTTTACATCTTATCGTGGCTAGCAGCGTTTATGTAAAAGAATGTCATTGGGATCGGGTGCCTTGCTCCTATCTAGGCACAGAGCCAAACCGCGCTCGGGTATTATGTGTAATAACGCGTCTATGCTTCGGCATTCCTTATGATGTTGTTTTTAACGTCTCTTTGTGGTTATTCGAAAGAGCTTTGGCTTATTATTCGAGCTTTGCTCGCGACTATATTGCGCATTAATAATTGTGAATTGAATCACATGGAGGAGGGAAGCTTGCTTTTTATTAGTCGTTGCGGGGTATTTATCTTATGGAGAAGCAATATGATTATCATGAACGTTATTTGTAATAAAATGATCATTGTGACAGAGTATTTCAATCGTATTTCACCATCCTACAGTCAAAATGCCAATTGCCATAGATGCCACCACTGTGCGTTTTACGTAAATTTCTGCCACGCACAGCTACTTTGTGTAGTCAGTTGTCGCCAGCGGTATTTCCGGATCGATACGACTTAGGGTCACATATATATTGGGTCAAACTCCAAGACAAATAATTATAGCAGTTCATTAAGTTTTCGAATTTAAATTTTTCAAATATTTAAATGTGATTTAAACACAAATCAAAGAGAGGGTTTAAGAGGTGACTAATGGGTATATAATTGATTACATTAGAGCGGGATATAATATCATCATCAGTTACAGAGTTAAAAATATTGGATTAACGTCGCCGGATTGTGAAAATAAATTGCTTCGTACTTAAAAATTATCCACGTAAATTCGTAAAGGGGATTCCGTCCGCGCCGTTACGGTTTCCATTATGGGATGCATATTTGATGAATGCACGGTCCTCCCACTGGCCTTTTCTTAGGCTGAATTTAATCCCTCTTAGTCGCGAGAGTTTTGCCTTTTTATTCTTACTTCGGTATATCTGTCGAGTTTAAGGACTCTATAAAAATGGCGACCCGCTCTTTGCGTTGCTACTAATATTTCGCCGGGGACTTATTATAAAAGGACAAGCATTCAAATATTACGCCCGGTTTCTGATCAGCTGTCAAATGGCTTTTCAAAGTTCATTTGAGTTGCCGAAAAGATGGTTAAACTCTTCGAATTGATCATTCTGAACATTAATAAGATCATTCTGACCATTAAGAAGACTTGATGACTCCGTGGCGCCATTTGACAGCTGATTAGTTAATTTGTACGATGATCAGTGTTTCAGAAAACGGGTGCTAGTGTCGGCTGATGGGGAGTTTTAAACAGGGTCATAGGTGACAGACCTGCTTGGAGACTAACAAACTCGGTGAAATGCGGGTAGCAACATCAACCTCTACCTCTCTAGTATAAAAAATAACAGCTTTTGTTATAATTCGATAGATTGCAAGGGGACGGAATGTGATCTCAACCGTCAATTTGAATCCCAGCGGCTTCCACACTTAAGAGCTTGATATTAATTTGATTAAGTATTAAGCTTGTTGGACCGTGACAGCAGTAACAGTGTCCGGGCGCTCGCCTTTAATTCAATATACTCGAACAACTTGAGTTCAGTTGAAATACCGGTGCCAGCTCCAATGAAATTCTTCATTTTAATTGCTCCCTTAGTTTTATAATTTGCTCAGCGGGGAAGGAAAACATCGAGAGGAAACCTGCGTATTTTCGAAATAAATAAAAAAGAAAATAAAATATTTCGAAGATATGTTTTTTTTTTTTGATTTTACAATTTAAAATTTTTTGAAGATATCTCAAGTCTTACAATCCGCGTTGGGTTCACGTGGTTGTATCTAATATCCACCGTACAGATAGAGGATATTAGTCCATCACGTAACACATTTTTTTACTTTTATCAAACTTGTTATATATATATATATATGGTGATGATAAATTAAGTAAGCAATATAAGTTATATACATATTTATTTTTTAACTGCTAAGTTCGATATAATCAAAAAAAATCGAAAGCTACAAGATCCCTGTGCTTATAACAGCTAAAAGCTCTTTTTAAAGTTAAAAACAAATACCAACCAATTTACCGTTCATAAATAACTGTTACTTTAATTAACATTCATTCAATTAATTAACATTCATTCATATCTCACTTGCCTATCAAACTTTGACCAGATTCTAGCGAATTATGGACGCTGTTTCGGTATCAGGGCACTTGTAGGCTCGAGTTCAGTTTTTTTTTTTCTGGAATGGCTAATCGCACCCAGCAGCCAGGTTCTTCGACCACTGATCCACACGGCACTCCTCTCTGCTTAAGCCCGCGACCAATCCGCCTAAGCAGCCGCGGAGCCTCTGCCCCGCCTCGGCCGCAAACGCCGCTGAAAGTTCAGCGCGCATTCAACAAGTGCTAGGCGTAAAACCCGCTTCCAGCACGCCGCATCTGGCCTGGCAACTTGCCACGCCACGCCTAGGCCGACCATTGGGTAATGTCGTTAACCAATTGACGGCCGCTGGTGTGCCATTGGCCGGTGCGTTATATAACACGAGGTCGGCCGTGACGCGAGAACTAGGTCACCGAGCGGTCGGTTAGCAGTTCCTGGGAAACGGCCGCAGCGTTGCCACTTTCACGTCAGGGCATCTCACCGAGCAGATCGTCATAGCCCCTTGTCACTAGATAGTTTAAAACAAAGTCGTCCCGTTTGTCTGTCCCTATGTATGCTTAGATCGTTAAAACTACGCTACGGATCTTGATGCGGTTGATAGAGTGGTTCAAGAGAAAGCTTTATATGTATAATACTTTGCACCCGTGCGAAGTGAGGGGGGGGGGTCCCTAGTATCCTATATGAATATCTCAACTCAGACCAACACGTTCAATCCTTACATTAGATAGATTATAGACCTCGAGCTTACACTAATCTTTAACGTAAGTTGCAACGCGTAGCCACGTGGAAATATTTGTTCAAATACAATTGCACGAATTTCTTCATTCGTTCGTCTTCTCGCCTCCTACTACACACTTTGCTGGCATTTCAGAAATCCAGAGCTAGGAGTAAGATATAACTAATATCCTATCAAAAAAATTCTGCTCAACGAATAACTACTGACCCAATGCTCGAATAACTCTAAGATCTTTTGGATACTAACATAAAAAGGCAGTCAATAGGATAATATAAATAGGTCAATACTAGCATTCAACTAGGTAAAGTTTTCATCTCAATCTTGGCATATAATAGGAAAGTTATAGAATACAATTTTGCACATACTTCAATGTAAGTTTCTTATGTTTCGTAACTATGTTCTGTAAAACAACTGAATATAGACATTTTCATAAACCTAAACACGCATATCAACTGAATAAATAGATTGCATTGGGATCAATTTCTAGCAATATATTTGTTTTGGCGAGATGGCTATTCATAGTTATGCTAGGATACATGTATGAAGCGGAAAGAGAACAATAAAGTTGAAGGATAAATTAGTAAATATAAAAATTAGTAAATTAATATTAAATTTACATTTACTTAATGCTTCCTCTCTACAAATTCTTTTACATTATATACATCTTAAGCATGTCGAGGTTTGTAATTAATTAATTTGCAACGAATATACATTTGCACGCCTATCAAAGAGGCAGAATAAGTGAACTTGTGTATTTGATTTAAGATCATTATGTATTTTCTTTTTATTATTACACTTGCAAACAAATAAATAAATGTACAGATACATCCTGGTACACACAGGAATAACAGGTATCTTTTTTAGTGATTTCCTCTGTCAGTAATACTTCATCGGTCACAGACCGAAAACTATTTCCCGACGCAGTTGACGCGAGTAAACCGCTTCGTTATCTATGCCCGCTCGACGGAAAAACGCGGCGAGACAATTAATAGCACTAAATAATGAGAACAAGGTCGTACGTGCGCCAAGAATTTATAACGATGCGAGGCGGCGTTCGCAGAGCGCGGGTCGGTAGTTAGCATGTGTGCTCATGTGGACGTTTCTCGGGGCCGTCGTGCCCCCTTACCATTTGCCGGGTCCCGATTGAGCGAACGGCATTCGAATGCTTCGGGTGCGATTAGACCTTTCACTCAAAAGGATCTTCAAGAAATTCTGTCGCTTAGTGAAAGTTTGGTAACATTTCTTTTTCTTTCTTTCTTGTTGCAAATGTCCACAAGCAGCGTTAGTATTGAAGTCGGATGGGCAAACGAGCTTGCGGTACAAATAAAGTTGAGTGATAGTTAAACTATATTCCACACCTACATATCAAGAAAACTATATTTTCCACGAAACAACAACTTTCCAATTCAAATAATCTCATGGAGAGCCTTTTTTACAATAAATTGATGCTTATTTCAAGTATAGCGTCTGTATTGGACGGGACTTACGTTGATATTTCTAAGTTCATACATCTGAAATTATATTTTTTGTTTTAATAAACTGTTATAAATACCAAGCGCGGAAGATAAAACGTAATTAAATCGACAGAGAATTAGTATGCTCGCATCTAACATGTTTGCATTACCAAGTAATTTTTTGTGTTTTTTTTTGTTAATAAAAGATAAAATGATGAGGTTAGTACTATTGTAAATGTTTAAAATAAATGAACATATACAATTTTAATTACAGATCATTAACTTTTGTTTCATGACGCCGTGGCGCAGTTGCCAAGTTATGGGCTTCGGCGCCGGGGGTCGTGGGTTCGATTCCCACAAGGGAGAACTATTTGTGCGACCCACAGATTGTTTCACATCTGGGTGTGTTTCTACGTGAAATTTATGTATGTAAAACATACTTACAAGAAAGGATAATGTATCCTACAGTAAGAGAATTGTTTTTAAAACAAAAAAATCCCATACCAAACAAATAAATGAAATGGAGATAAATGCAATATACCATTAGTAAGAGAATAGTGCTGAAAAGCGTAGCTGTCCGCTCACGCGTCGACAACTCCGATGGCATTTTAATAAGCTCAATAGGTCGAGCGGAAATAAGAGTACAAATAAAGAGTCTGAGAACATTTGCTGTTCCCTAGTGTTTTATCGAGTATCATAGTGATTTGCTTTTCAATGTTTCGGAAAGATAAAGAGACATCCATACTAATGTTACAAGAATGTTGAACGTGTTTCTTCGATAATTATTATAATTTACGCAAATAATACACATTTTAATAAAATTAGAATAGTTTTCGCGTTTGATTTCAATTCCTTTTTGAAGTTATACTTCTTTTGGCTTTTGGTTTATTCCCTTGACGCCAGTGGGTCACTTATTGATAGTGTTGTAACACAACGTTTGATAGTGTTGTAACACAACGTTATCCACCGGAAGTAGAGATCGTTGATAAATAAAATGGAATAAATATTTGAGGAGAAATCTTTACACAGGGTTAACTAGTTCCAAACAACTTAAAAGCAAAACTTGTAATATGGGTACTGGGTAACTGATAAACATACTTTAACATACGTTTCTATAGTGAATAAATTAATTTTATAGATAATATGATGAACCGCTGATGAAAACCGTTGTCATCATATGACATTTTTCCAAAAGTATAATCATACCCTCTGATGCAAGGGACAGGTTCTTTATCCACTGCACCAATCGGGTCGATAAATCCCGCTTTACCAATGCCCGTGAAATTCCAATATCTGGGCTCTTCCGTTTGGACGCTCAGAGTTACGGAGGCGGAAACGTTGCCATGTGAACTGCTCCCCACGACATCCGTTAACAGACGGAAGCTCAGGGGATGCCATGCCCTCAATCGACGTCGTCTACCCGATTAGAAATCTCCACGTTTCCGGTCCGTCTCAACTCGATTAACACAGTTCACGTCGAACTAAACGTTTTAGATCAAAGACAAAAAATATAGCTACTTATATAGAAAGAATGAAGAAGAAGAAGAAGACGTGAAGTGGATGCGTTACACTTCTGCATTTCGTCTGGTGAGTGAGGTAACCGGGAACCAGTTTATTAAAATCTGGCAACGCATCTGCAACCCTACCGGCGGCGGTTATCACTTCACAGTGAGTGAAGCGCCAAGTCCCTTGCCATCTTCTCACATATGAAAAAGGAGGAAAATCAAAATGAGGAAGATAAGAAACCTAGTGAAAACAAAATCCAAAAGAGAAGAGCAAGGATTGCGATTGTAAGAATATCGAAATTTTTAAGATATTAATCACGCAATATCATCTAAAATAATATTATTAAAACTTTACTGAAACATCATTATTAACGGAATATTAAAACGGCTAAACTGACGTAGAATCGGTGTATTTATCATCTAGTTTCAGAACTCAGATAGGTCCTTCATCAGGGTTAGTGAGAGCAGTTCGCGATCGCGCCCTTTCTTGCACTGCGCTGCCAAAACTAATCAGTACTTACACCGATTCCACGTGAGTTTAGCCATTTTAATATTCCACCAATGTCATCTACTTCCAATCTGAGCGAACCTTGTATTATGAAGTAGATATCTGATAAAATTAGTTAAACGTAACTTAGTTTTGTTAATTAATATTTGTTATATAATATGTATATACACCAGAGCCCAAACTGGGGATCGAACCCACTCCCGCTGGCGAAAGAGATGGGTTGTATTCCGCTACGTCAATTGGGTCTTTCACAGTTCATATTTTACTTATTATACTTAATTCTTTATATTTCGCATTTATTTATATTAACTTGCCTTAGATTAACTGTAACATCGATCTTTCTTGTTTAGGATTCGGCGGAAATTAGAATGCAGCACCATTTAAAGCCTCAGAGTCACTTTTCCTTTAAGTAATTTCCTTATCAAAAATATACATAATTAAAAAACGTCCAATACAAAATCGAGACAGCGTAATTAATATAAACACGAGCGAAACGTGACATTAAAATATATGCGTACCGAAATTTAAATTCGCGCTCAAAATAGTCGCGTTCGAGTTAATTAAGCTTAACTACAAACATCAACGGCCCCAGTGAGTGTGAACGTATATAACGTTGATACAATTACCGCTGGACGTGTACTTTATGGCGGACAAAGCAGCGAATCGACGTGCCAGTGAGACGGATCGTGTGTCCAACGGTAAATCAATGGGCGAGATTTAACGAGAGCTGTCACCATTAGCGCACGTTTCGCAATTAATTAGCGCATTCGTTTGTTGATTAATAGCAGCGCTAACGATGCGCCGGTGCTCATCTTTCCCGCCCACGCGCGTGTAAGCGTTTCGCACTTTTGTACATTACAACGACAAAGGCTTTGTTCCATCGCGTATGTCGAGCGTGATTCGCTTTACGAATTGCCTGCAAATGCAATGGGGTGGGGAAATCGGCTAGCTGTGGTTCATCGAGTGTGTTGAGATCGTAGAAAACATCGTTAAAATGCTAAAGGGCACGCGTAACGACAGGCATAAGTACCA